GAGAGAGAGAGAGAGAGAGAGAGAGAGAGAGAGAGAGAGAGAGAGAGAGAGAGAGAGAGAGAGAAGTTATGACAGCTGGGAGATTTCCTCCCTCAGAACTTTTCTATTCTTCTCCAAACTCTGCGATCCGAGTTCTTTCCTGTAGACTTCCGTCCCTCACACTTGGTAGCTCGGTAGAGCGTGCCTGCTTGGTGGTGAATCATACTCAACTTTACTACTGATCAACGAGTCCAAAGTTCAAATCCCATGATATACAAAGAAAATTAGGGCTACCCCCCTCCAAAAGTAACCAATACTATGAGATGAAACAAGTAGCTGTTAGCATAAGGATGTAGTGCTAGGCTCTATAGCCCTGCTCAAGAGGCAAAGCAGGTAATTGGCAGAAGACCGTGTCAAAGCAAGTTGATTGCGTCAAAGCAAGTATCTGCCAAATGAGCCAAACGTCTTGCTAGTTTGGTACATACTTTGCTGATTGGGACAGTTGGGTTTGTATGAAGAAGACGGTGTTAAAGATCGAAGAAAGAATATGTCCTCCGTCTCTGTGACGACTTATTCACAAGTTTTTCTTTTCAACTTTTGCTCCAAAAAAGTTGTTAATCGATGAGCGCTTCTGGTTCTGTCTGTTGTGATCTTAGCACAGAATAGCAGCACCAACTGTGCCACAGCTCATGTTGGAGTGTCAGATTTGTTGCATACTAACCCCCTCTTTTGTGTTTTTTATTTACAATTTTAAACTAACCCATGATAGTTTTTTCAGTTTTGCTTTAGGGTTTTGGTGATGTGGCTTTTTTTTTTTTTTTTGATGTGTATTTTTTATTAGAACATGTAACTTACATCCGTCCGCGAAACATAGTGGCTTATCATCGTGATGGTACGCAAGTTGTGTGTCCTGCTTGTGTACAGTCAAGATGATAGATGGTTGTGTCCGTAGGAAGAAGGGTGTGCCTGCCTGCCATCCTCAGCAGGTCTGTCTCTCTCCTTCTTTGATCAGAGGTAACATCTAAACATTGGTGACCTGTCTGCAGCTTCAATGTTTGGTGGACATGCGGACACAAAGAAAATGTCATGTTCAGAAAAGAAAAACAATTGAAATCAAACTCAGAGAAGCGCTGGAGCCTGATATAGTAATTGTGTCAAATTGAAGACTCAATTTGGATCTGACTTGGTTTAGGCACTGGTCAGTCACTTCCTGCAACATTTTCTTGAACCTTCCAACAACATACGTTTTCATGAACCTTTAACCAACAGGTCCAACATACATTTTCTTGAACCTTCAAACAGCACGGAATCGAACTCAGAGCACTGGAGCATGATATAATAATTGTGCGAATTAAAGACTGAATTTGGATCTGATTTGATTTAGGCACTGGTCAAGACTCGAGAGGTTCCTGCAAGTATTTTCTTGAACATTTAAACATCATACGTTTTCTTGGACGTTTAAACGGTGTACATTTCTTGAACCTTTAAACAACATACATTTCTTGAACCTTTAAAGTTTAAACAACATACATTTCTTGTGAACCTTTAAAGTTTAAACAACATACATTTCTTGAACCTTTAAGCAACATACATTCTCTGCAACCTTCTTCTTCTTCTTCTTCTTCTTCTTCTTCTTCTTCTTCTGCTGCTGCTGCTGCTGCTGCTGCTGCTGGTTAGTCCCTAAGGTTGTGTCCATCAGGATCTGAATCCGTGATATAGCATTCAGCCAACCTTCTCGGCAATCGTTTCCGCAACCGTTGCTACCACTGTTTGGCCAACATTTTCTGTACAATCTTTTTTCGCACTGTTTTCTGCAGAAATTTCTGCATCATTGTTTTGCTACATTTTGTGAGTCCTTTTTTCTGCAAGATTTTCACAATGATCAGCCAAAGGTTAGGATGTGTGTCAAGGTTGTGATATGGATGTTGACGACCTGCTGTAATTAGCAGTGAAGTGTTGGGCACTTCTTGGTGTCTTCCTCTTACAGAGGCAGCGTAAATGTCAACACCTATATAGTTCTATTGTGCTGCAGATTGAGTGAAGGTTCATTTGAGTATGGGAACTATGCCAAGGAGGTCGAGGACTTAAGGGCTGTTATAGAGTTCTGGCGAAGACAGGGGCGGGAAGTGAGTTCAATCATTGGGCACAGCAAAGGTTAGTGGTCAGTCAACGAATCTTGCACCCTAGTCAGTCGAGAATCTTGAATCCCCTTGGAACATAAGAACACAGTTAATGGTGTTGAAGCCACGCAATGCTAATCAATACCAACTCAATAAGGCCTCCACAAAGTTCTCTTCAACAAAACCAGACATTGAAAAGCATACGAATGAGCATCATTGAGAAAAAAGACAAAATATAAGCTGAAGATCTGAAGAAAAATGAACAGGAGTATACCTCCCCCTTTACTCTGCCTCCTTTCATAATGTGCAAGTGTGCCGTTATGGCACACGGGGATGTGACAGCTGACGCTAAACACGTGGCCAGCCTTGTACGTGAGAGGCACAGTAAAAGGGGAGCAGCAAGTACAAATAGAAGGGGAACCCCAAGGGCCGATGACCTATTTCAGTTGGTTGAGCACGAACGTGACATTCAGGAGGTCGTGGGTTCAATTCCCTGAGTCGTCTATTCGATCCCCCATGGCCCCCTGCAGCATGCTTCGCGCTCATCAGCTGAGATATGCGGCTTGCCCCTCCTAGCTGGGTGTGGAAGTAATTAGAGCTTTCCAGCTCGCGCCAGGCGTTAGGAGCTTGGGTGCTGCTCTCCGCACAGAGCAGATATAGGTAGGCTATAGATAGGTAGGGCTAAGCATTCCACTCGGGCCATGCTCCTCTTCTCGACCCATAACCCTTAGCTACCCATAACTCGTGCTGAGAGATTAGGGTGAGGTAAACAAAAAAAGAAGAAAAAATGAAGGGTACCCCAAAGAAAACCAAAGTAAAGAAAGTCAAGAAAGGGACATAATGGATCTATTCTGCTCCTTGTTGCGTGCTATAGCGGTAAAGTTTTCCATTGTTGGAATGACTCATCTCAATCTGTTCCATGTAGCTTCCTATAGAGGTAAACTGTTTCATTATTGCATGGCTCATCTCAAGCGTGCTTCGTTGTCTGCAATGGATGTAAAGCGTCATGGATTTTGGATGTACTCATTTGGGTGAGTAGGGGTTGTTGTGCTGAAAATCTACAAAACACACACAAACATAAAATGGGTATTCTACTACTTTGTCTTTCAAATTTTCTTTGTTTTAGTCTGCCTTTTTGTCTGCTGATATGTCCATTTGTGCACTGATCCCGCTATATGCCCACCCATGTGCCATCGGCTCGCCGGCCTGTCCCCATGCCTACTGAGATCTGTCCCCTACTGCAGTGGGCCTCTATTTGCCCTGGCCTACAACCAGGGCTATTTGGCTATTTGTTTGTTCGGCCTATGGGACCAGGCCGTGGCGTGATCCACAAGCCGTGTGTTTATTCAGTCCAGTCCTGTCCGGTAGCACCGTCGGTACCGGTCCAGTCCAGTCCAGTCCAGTCATTCCGCTGGGGGTAAACCCCAACTGCACTGTGTATCTTGATTCATTCTTCATTTGCACAGCTTAGAGTACCTGCGTGTTGAGTCTGCGTTGGAGCTGCGCTGTCCCTTCAAGCTCCATCGCTATCTCCTTCATCCTCACTCCTCGTTTTGACGCTGACAGGACCCCCACCCCGGCGGGTCCTTCACACTGGTATCAGAGCAGGTTATGTTCCTGCTCCCTCCCACCCACTCCATCACCGTGTCTCGTGGTTTGAGCAATGAGCTTGCCACTCTACCTTGAAAATGACCCCGGTGCACATTTTTTATCAGTCTTTGTGCATCTGGTGTCCATTTTCTTTGATCTTTATGCTGCCAAATTCAAGCTTCGCTCACGGTTGGAAAACTCTCGACGAGCCACTTCCAACGAGCCATAGATTGCAAAATTCTATGTGATGGTTCAGGAGCTGTGATCGTTCAAAGATCACATTTTTTTAAAGATCCAAAACCGCGCGCGCTCATTTTTTGATGAGCGCTATTTCTACAGGCCGCGGCTGAAGGCACGCCGTATCTCGTTAGAGGCGCCTTTGAAAAAGTTTTTTTGCTAAAATCCGCCTAGCGGATTAAAAGTTGTTGGCAAAAAGGTATTTTTCCTCTCTCTCGTCTCTCCCCCTTTACGACCATTTTCAAGAGTGCCACGTGGCAGCACTTGAAGACCGCCCTGGCTAGGGTGCTGCTCTACAACAGGGAGACATTATTATTATTTTCTTTGCAGATCTGGTCCTGTCTGATCAGATCCAGCTGCCTCAACGACGGTTTGGAAGAAAATTAACCCCCCCCTGTATAGGGCGCTGCACTACAAGTGGAAAATATTGGTTGGGGAGGTCAAGATCTCTCCCAAACCCTCTATTCTGCACTTCTGACCTGTGTGATCAGACCCAACTGCTGCAGCAGCAGTTAATCATCATCTTGAAGGCCACGATCTTGTGGATCTTGGGGATTTTTCTTCTCTTGGCCACTCAAGAGTTGGGTATCATCCCTCTACTCACTAATAAACTTCCCCCCACCTTCTCCCTCTCTCCCCTCTCTCCCCTCCCTCCCCTTCCTCCCTCCCTCCCCTCCCTCCCTCCCCTCCCCTTGTCATCTTTTTCTAATCCCACCACTAATCCTTCACCTTTTCTCACTCTTCTCTCCTCTTTTCTTCACTTCTCTCCCCTCCTTCATTGTCATATGCTGCACTCTTCACTCATCTCCTGCCATCTTTTTCTGTCCACTTCTCCTCACTCACCCTCTTCTACTAATCTCCTATTCTCCTCTCCACCTTTCCCATCCTTTTCTCTCCCCTTCTCCCATCCTCCTCTCCTCTTCTTCCTCCAACTAAAACCCCATCATCTCCCTAACTACCACCTCAAAATTTTTCTATTTGTCACTTTTCTGAGTTTTCTCTCTTTTTTCTGATCACTTTTTCATCCCTCCCTCCACCAAGTTCGAATTTATCTGTTTTTCTTATTGTGTTCCTCTCTGATTTATTTTTTATTTTTCTTTTTAAAAAATCGAATTACCTTATAAGTTATTACCTGCTTCTTTTTCATTTTCTTGATTTATTTTTATTTGCAAGGAAAACGAGCAATAGTGAAATGACAGAAATCCAGAATGCAAATTTACATTGAACGCCAGAAAGTCCAACGCTGTCCAGAAAGCAGAAATGCACTGATATTCACCAATGGAGAACCAAAGCAACGAATCCGAATGTCACTGAGAGCATACTCTTGCCATCACCAACACATGTATCCAAAGCACCTCCACCTACTTGGCGCTCAGCGCCCAGACTACCACTACACAACTACTAGCAGCCTACAAATTGACAATGCATCTTGTTGACGTCGGCAACAACAACGGAAGTGCATGAAGATGTCGACCTTGTAGACCATTGCCAAGACCAGGTACGTGTCCTCACATCATCAACCTCATCTCTCTCTCTCTCCCCCTTGACTTCACCCACGTCTTACATCCCATACACGAAGACCACCACCATCACCGCTGACTATCCAAGCTGGTGCCCGGCTATGAGGGCCCAGCTATGGCGCTGCCTTCTTGCAGTGCCCTCAACCCGAATGCCCGCGCGCGCTCTGCACGTGCACTAGTGCTAAGCATGCAGCCACGAGCCCTCGCTCCAGCTGCTTGCACTGCCACGTGCCCGAATGTCGAGCCCGGCGCCCTGCCCTTTCCTATATGGAAAGTGGCGGGTGCTTTCCTTGCTCCCCCACGCGAGACCGAGTTTCCAGTAGCTTCAGTCTCCTTCAAAGCGTTTGTGCCCAGACCCTTTCAGACTGTGGCCTGGGACCGAATTGGTTAGGCATGCCCAAACACCCAGGCTCAAACGTGCGATGCTCCCTGCTTCCACCACGTTTCTGGGAGAGCCTGGACGGCTCACAAATATTTTGGATTCTCACGAGCAAGGCGGATGTAACCAACTGGCGCGTGGCAACTGCCTGGTGCCGACCAAGATTTCCAAAAAATGACAAGTTCAGGGTGCATTGAGATTCAGGGGCCCCGCCTTCACTTAGGGCGGGCATGCGCCTGCTGCAGGGCCCTATGCCGAGGCATAAACCCGCGCACTCCCTCCTCCTTTACTTCAGTAGTCCTCTGAGAAGTCGTTACACAACAGGCTGCTTCTCTTGCAAATTTCGTTCATAACTTGTGATAACTTGGGGAGCAGTCTTCATCAATTTCCTGACCATCTGGTTGATCTCCCACTATATCAAGAATTTCCCAGGGTCCAAAGTACTGTGGCATCAGTTTACTTGAGATTCCCAACTCCTGTCCCAGCTCAGATGACTTTACCCAGACTCGTTCACCTACCTGAAATGCAGACAGTCGTTAGTTCCCAGGCATTGCGTCTACACTTTGATCCAATACCCGAACCTGCCTATCCTTTGAATTCAAAATCCTGCCTCTAAACCCTAAACCCTACACATTTACTCGGGAGTGGGTGAGGTCATTTCTGTTTTTTTTTTGAAAGATTGCTGAACTGTTAAATGGACAGTTGGGATGCATCACAAACACAGTGGTGCACGACTGCCGTTGAACAGGATCTTTTTTTTTTCCTCCTTTTTTCCTTTCCTCCCTTTTTTAAAAGGGGGACTGCGTTGAGATATCATCATTGAACTGACCGGCCCCAGGTAATTCAGAATGATTTTATTCTGGTCATCTGATTGTATCTGGATTCAAACTTGGGTCTGTATTTCAACAGGTCGTGGGTGTACTAACTGCGCAAGGGCCATTGGTGCCGTTGAATAGGATCTGTTCTGTAGGTTATACAAATTCACTTCTGCCCCTACAGGATGCCAGGAGGGGTTTGATGATTTGATCTAAACAGCTGGATGATGACTCTGCAATACTGTGCGAGTACTGGGTCTCTGAGCCTGCCTTCTGAATGCGCTGATTGACTCTGCCCCGGGCAAGATGCTTGACAGTGGACTGGCCCAGATACCACTTGAGGAAATCTAGCTGTGCAGACGTCCGCATCTGAAATCTTCCTCTTCAAAGTTTGCATAGACAGCATAAACTGCATGCATCGTGTGCCTTCAGGCGACTGCCAGATAGCGAGAATTTTGCTCACCATCCCAGTCTTCCACTAACACGTACCTGACGGACAGTAGTAGGGTCTTCCGGCGGTCTAAGAAACGAAATAGAGAGCACCTTAAGATCTCGTGGCTGTACCCAGAAGGTTTTGCCAAGTTGAAAAGATCTAAAAAAAACAAACAGCCTCTTCTTGATCGAATTCGTTAGTTACCAGGCATCGCTTTTACACTTGGGAAATTGCATTAGAAATACTCAGAAAATGAGAAATCCTGCCAAGTAGAGAAAGGCCGCAGATCCCCCCATCCTATCATCTGCACGTTTCTCCAACAGCTCTCTCTCCTCGGCGTTCTTGGTTTACTTGCTTTTCTGACAAAGAGTCAGCTCACATGCATCTGATAGGAACACATGAAGAGAGAGGCAAGCTGACAATCAATCCTCTGTTAAGCAGCCAGTACACAGCCCCAGCCTTGCTGACATTGCATCTCGTAGCCTACAAAATTTTTGGAGGCTTGGCCTACCGGACCACAATGGCTGGAGGCGCCAGCCAAGAAAGAAAGAAGGTGTGCCGCTGGTGGTTCGGAAAAGCTTGGCGTGCTGTAAGACGCCTCCAGGCCCGGGTGTACTGGTGGTTTAAGGAGCAAGGATGTGCTAAGTGGGACTGCTGAAGTGTCGTGGTCGGTACTTGTTGCTGGAAAGGAGCCGGACTGACGCTCTCCAGAAAATTCCGGCGGAGAGCTCGGATTTGGTGATTAACCGGTTCTGGACAGAGACTAGGAGTGGGAATTCGGAAGAAGGGGTTACGGAAATGGGAAGCTGACAGTCAGTCCCCCTCTTAGGGGCAATCAATGCTGACCAGGGTTCCTTCGGCCAGATGGAGGAAGCGTGAGTGCGTTGTTATGTAAATTCACGACTTGCCAGTAGAAAAGGCACCGAACTGACGTTCTCCAGAATGGATATGGAGCCAGGCCATGAGGACCTGTTTTGTGGGGGGAGGGGGGAAGTGAAAGGCGCAGAACTTTGGCCCATTTAGAGGGGTGCACGCTACGTGGAACACGGATTTATCTGTTTAGGGGTTCGGAAACATCCACAAATTTGAGCATTAGAGAGAGCCGTGTTAGCGAGAAGAGACTAGTGACACGGCGCAAGGTCAGTTCTGAATTCTCTGGACTTAAGACTTCCACAAATGGGCCCAGGTAGGTTCCATAAACTGGGCTGTCTGCCCCTCGTTGGGGAATGTGGACACTTAGAAAAATCTGGGTCGTTCTTTCTGGCGATTGGCAATCACCAAAATGATGGCAAACAGCACTCGTGATCAGGCGTTCTTGGGTGTTAAAATCATTGGGAGCTGTGAATTCCTCAACTGGTAGTGGATCTACCAAGTCATTGGGTGATGTCATCTGTCATCTGATCATAAGAACACAGTGAAGTACAGGTCATGGGCAGGATGCACAACCCTCAATGGTTGCCTGCCTGGATCTGTAACGGATAGTGTTGTCTCGTATTGCTGTGTCTTTTATTCTGCTGTCGCAGGTGGGAATGTCGTGATCTTATATGCAGCAAAGTATGATGATGTCCCCAAGGTCGTGAATGTCAGTGGGCGGTTCCAAATGGACAGAGGCTTAATGGAAAGGTTCGGTGAGGATGGCCTGCAAAAACTGAAGACGATAGGGTATTTGGATGTCCAAAATGATGCTGGTAAGAACTCACGGCCTCGTCGGTACTTCCACCTCAAACAGCTTCCCCACGCCATCGTCTTGGATTCTTAACTCTCTCTCTCTCTCTCTCTCTCTCTCTCTCTCTCTCTCTCTCTCTCTCTCTCTCTCTCTCTCTCTCTCTCTCTCTCTCTCTCACACACACACACACACACACACACACACACACTCTAATGGATAGATAAGTGAGGTGAAGCTGTTTCAATTTTGGACCTACTCAGCTGGGCGGAAGTATAATATATTTGTGCAAGTGTGCCGCTCCGGCGGCAGACGGGTGTGTGGGCACTTGCTGCTTAACCACACAAACATGGGCAACCTTGCATCTTTTAATATATTGCCCATCTATACCTTTTTTGTTTTATTGATGGTTTGTGATGATGTGTGGTTGGAATGAGAGAGAATTTGGGGATCTTTGAAAAACACACATGCACAGATGGTGTCACTGTTCACTTTGAGGGGTTACACTGTGCTGGATGATCCCTTGGACATCTGTCTCAGAGCTTTCACAACAGTCTCCCTTTGAACCTTGTAAGCTACGGATGTCCTTTGTCTTCACCCTCCTGTGTCCAGTACCACCCATCCGAATGTGAGAGATGCCAGGTGTGGATGGTGATCATGCTAACCAAGAAATTTGGGTCGCTGGATCTGCCAGGTGTACAATTAATCATGACACCAAGGAATGGCGGTGTCAAAATTTGTCGACGAGTGGACACCGAAACGTCGACATTGAGTGAATTTGAGTCCCTTGGACTATGAATTTCCCCCAGTCATGACCGGGGGCCTTCCGGCGGCCGGCGGCCGTGACCGTGACCGGAGCCATGACCGCGGCCGGCCAGGCTCCGGCCACGACCTGCTGGGATTTTTTGGGGGGTTAAAAAATTAACAATATATATGTATATATCGTCACAAACATATATATATATATATATATATATATATATATCTTCTTCTCTCTCTGTGCCTACGGTTTTACCGGGCAGTTCTGTTTGTGACGATATATATATAGTCAAACAGAGCTGCGCGGTAAACCGTAGGCAGAGAGGGAGAAGAGGACAACGAACGAGGGGCCGTGACAAACTGTTTTGTCGGAGTTCCACCGACTATTAGGAGGCTGAACCATATGGGGTTGTAGGGCTTTTCATGCTCTACAGTGTCCACACCCCTTTTCTTTTTGGGGGGGAAAATTTGATTTATTTATTTTTGTAAATGAAAGACTAAGAAGCTGTTAATGGCCCTGAGGCAAAAGTTGTTCAGTTTATTATTTTGGTAAGAAAAGCAAAGATTTTTTTTTAATATTTTTTTTAAAATGTGGTAAGGAATTTGGATGTGATGCTGAGGCAGAAGTTGTTCAGTTTATTTTTTTGCATAACATCTAGGCTACCAGCCGGGCCGCCCGGGTCACCCTGCTTTCCCTGGCGAGCCGGCCGTGCAAGGACCATGGAAGGTCCCACCAAAAGAAAAAAGAAAAAAAACGAAAAAATTTAAAATTGGAAAAATAAGTTAAATAACTATGTTATGCAGAAAAATAAACTGAACAACTTTTGGCTCCGGGCACATCGAAAATCTTTACCAAATTTAAAATAAAAATGAAATAAAATTATGCGAAGCATAAGGCCCCAATGAGCCCCCTTTTTCCCCTGTAAGCAGCACAGTCGGCCGCCCTAAGTGAAGGCAGGCCTGACCGAGGCCAAGAGGCCTATTTTTCGGCTACCACGCAACTGGGGAAATTCAGGCAGTTGTGCAGAGCCAGTTGGTTGAGAGCGCCCAGGCCCAGGCTGCCTTTTTCGTACGTAACTGAGGCAGGCCCTGGGCCAGATACACAACAAGGGCCGAACACAGGCTGCAGGCAGTTGGGCACAGGCAACCGTCAAAGGCCCTGGGCCTGATTCGTTTGGACCAGGGCTCAGCCTCTCGGGGCCTACCGGAAGCTTCTGGACAGGGGCGCAGCGCAGCCAGGCCACACGCAGCAGGCAGGCCACTTCCATTTAGGAAAGGGCCTGCCCTCGCATTTGGCATTCGGGCACTGGCTGCATGCTGCGCAAGTGCTGCTGTGCTATTTGCTGGCCAGCGCCCACGTGCTCACGGGCGAGCTGGATGAGCAGGCAGCCATAGCCGAGCTGCGCTGCACTATGCTGGATGGGGCGCATGGTGGTCCTTGGCATCTGTGAGTGGGGGATCGAGGTTGTGAGTGATACGAGAGACATACCTGGTGCTTGAGGCGAACAGCATTGGCCGAGATCTGCTCGTACTTCGGGCACCAGCGGCATTGTAGATAGGCTAGATAAGATCTGCCATTTGTAGTCTGGGCGCAGAGCGCCAGATAGGATGTCGACATTGGTTCATTGTTGATGATGATGAGACTATTCCAACATTGTCACTTGTGAGCTTTTGCTGTGCTCTTATTTGGTGGAACTCGTGTTGCAATTCTGCTTTTGGTTCGAGGTCACGACTATCTGGTTACATGTGTATGATGCTGCTTGGCTTCTGGAATTCGCTATCGCTCATTTTCCTTGCAATTATTTATAATTATTATTTTTTAATGTTTTTATTTGTTTTTGGCCCAACCGGGCAAGTGGTCCCGGGCCACTCTGGTAGCCTAGCATAACATAGTTTTTTTTCAGATTTTTTGGAATTGTTTTTTTTTTTCACATAGTTTTTTAAACTTTTTTTCAGATTTTTTGGAATTGTGTTTTTTTTTTTTTTTCTCACGACCTTGGGTCCCAGTCATGACCGGGGCCCTTCGGTCATGACGGGCTACCGCGGTCACGGTTGGCACAGTCGCCAGTCACGGGGACACATAGCCTTTGGAGCATCCTTCAGACTTGGAATGATACAGAGAAGATAACATGGCACACTGTGAAATCTTTTGCTCATGCCATTCTTGCTTGCTGTTTGGTTTGTGTCCTTGCGCCTCCTTCCTGTTGATTGAGTATATTCCCCCAACCTACCATTGTCCTGCGTCCTAACGCCTCCTCCCTGTGGATTGATTGAGTGAAGCACACAAAACCTATCATTGCGTCTACCTACCAAACTGCCGTCCTTGCCTGCTCCACACTTTTCCTGTCACTTTCTCTATCCATTCTCCTTGTTTTGTCCCTCTTGCAGTGGTTTTCCTCCTCTAACTTAGACGTGCTCTTGGATTCAGATGCAGGGAATATGCAGTACAGGGTGACGTTAGCAAGTCTCGAAGAACGACTTGCAACAGACATGAAAGCAGCAGCAGAGGCAATTCACAAATCAAGGTGAGAAAAGTGAAGACTTCTACAGCATAAATGTGGGGTCAAGCGCTTCCTCAAGTACTCCAAAGTTGTTCTGTCACGTGAACGGGTTCATCAGGAGGACTTCCTCCACATTCATTCCCATTTGGCTACGACTAGTGTTGGGCCAGTGCCGGCCTGGATGCGACCGACTGGATCGACCCAGGTCCTCCAACCGGAATTCCTGTTGGCCTCAAAACCGGTCCAATTTTATTTATTTATTTATTTTGAAACCAGAGTTTGACTGCACTCGCCGAGAACAGTCAGAATCCGCAAAGAACACCGTGTACTCAAAACTTTTATCTGGTGGTTGGGGGTGGGGGGTGGGGGGGGGGTAGTGGTGGTGTTACAGCAACCATGGCTATGTCACCAGTGGGGTGAAGAGGAAGGAGTAGGACACGAAGAAGAAGAAGAAGAAGAAGAAGAAGAAGAAGAAGAAGAAGAAGGCTGTGGCTATGGCTACCAGAAGGGGAAGAAGGGAAACACCAGGAGAAGAGGAGGAAGGAAATGAAGAGGAGAGGAGGGAGGACACAAAGAAGAGGAGGAGAAGAACAAGAGGAGGAGGGGAAGAAGACGCGGAGGAGGAGGAGAAGAGTAGGAGGCGGAGGAGGGGTAGGGTTTGTGTGATGACGGGGGTTGGGGGTGGTGTCGGTGTTGGCTGGCGAGGTCGACTTTTCGTAGTTTTCTCCAGGAAAAAAAACGACACAAAGGGGAGTGCGGGAGGAAAAAATCAGAAGAGGAGAGGAGGATGAAGAAGAAGAGGAGGAGGAGAAGAACAAGAGGAAGAGGAGAAGAACAAGAGGAAGGGGGGGAGGGGTTTGCTTGACAAATGGGGGTGTCGATGGGCAGGGTTGACTTTTCTTCGGGAAAAAAGAAAACAAAAAAACAAAGGGGAGTGGAGGAGGAAAGGATGAGAAGAGGAGAGGAAGAGAAGAAGAAGCGGAGGAGGAGGAGAAGAACAAAAGGAGAAAGAAGAAGGAGACGCGCAGGACGTGAAGAAGAGTCGGAGATGGAGGAGGCGGAGCGGTTTGCGTGTTGGTGCGGGGCACGGTGGGGGCATCTCGACGGGCGACGTTGTTTTTTGTCAGACAAAAGGGGGAAAAAAACGAAGGGGAGATGATGAATAGGAGAGAAGGAAGAAGTAGTGGAGAAGGAGGAGAAACGAAGAAGAAGAGAGGAGGCTCACCGCTCTCTCTCTCTCTCTCTCTCTCTCTCTCTCTCTCTCTCTCT